CAGTGGCCTGTTAATCAGCACTTTATAATTTATCAACTAAGTTTGCTCTTTTTGCTTTTTACCTCTAGTTGCATGAAGACTATATTTTAACAGTAGCTTATCATCATAGCCTCAGAGTATCTATTTTGTCCTGAAATTACTTCACCTATCTGTCTCAACAGCACTGGCTGACTACTAAGGAACATTCATTTTTGAAGGGCTTCTCTACACAGGCCAAATCCTGATAAAATCTGAAAAAATAAACATAGCCTCTTACTTTGAAGTTAACAGACTGATTTGCATTCTCTTTTATCTGCCCTCTACAAATAACTTTTCCCCATACACAGTATATGCCTGGGAGTGATGCAAGGATCCGTGAGGGACTCAATGGAGCATGGGACAGGTATTTCTCTGAGAGGCTTTTTCTACAGAGGCAGTGAGATTACTATCCCATTCTCTTTTGACACTTCGGTGAATCCTTGCACCACTGCCAGGCAATACCAAGAACAGTTTCATTTCTTTTTTAAAAAGACCAATATAATGATGATGGAGCACCACACACAAGTGACAAAAGCTTATGGGGAGATTCCTAGCAAATTCTGGAACTGAAGTCCAAAAGAAACAAAAGTCCCATCCCTAATTTTGACTTTACTATCATTTAGTTCCTCATAATAAACCACATGGTACTGAGCATCCATCTTGCATTAGTGGAAGCATGTGTTTCTCAATAGTCTCCATGAAAAGCACAGAAAGGACAAATCGGAACAAGTGAATTCTACCCAAAGCAGAAATTTGTATGGAACTTTAGAGTGGAGTTTGACTAAAATGTTTTTGAGGGCAATGTTTCACCTTTTTTGTCAAGTAGGTGCTGGTCTGGAAAATTAAACAGGCTTATGTTTACACATGAGCTGTGAGCTTCAAAACTTATAAATCCAAGACATCTTAGAAAAGACATCCATGACCTTCAGTTCCATTACGCTAAATTTTTCTTCAGTTGCCATAATGTTTGGTCCCATGTGTTTCACCATCTACAGTCAACACAACAGTCAAATTGATTTGAATCATGATTTCACTAGTCAGTATTTTATTTTTAAATGATTTAAATAAATAAAAAACCTCTTTCTCCTCCTATTGCTCCTGTACAGAAAGAACGAAAAAGAGGAAAAATTTATGTTGAAAGCAAAAAGAAGCTCCATCTCCAAAAGTAAGGACATTCCTAAATCAAAAAACAGATCAACACTCCTCACTCAAAACATGAACACACTGGCCAAAATCCTTTTGTACAGCTCTGGTAGCACAATAGGAGTGACATCACTGGAAGCAGCAGACTGGTGCTAATTAAATAGTTCCTGCTTTGATTCTGAGTTCTGTGCAATTTTCTCTCATTGCTCATGGGTTGCATAGAACCTGAAATTTAAGGAAGAAGTCTTCTGTTGGGACAGTATGCCACTGCTGGTGGGGCTGTGCAGGAGGATACAGACCACAGATGAACCCTTCTTGTACTTTAACTTCTACACAAAGTAGGTATATGAGCTGAGCACTTTTTGATTCCCTAAAGAGAAAAACCTCTGCTCACCTTGAACTCATCACAAGATTCAGAAAAAAATGAAGGCAAGAAGAAAAGAGGAAAACCAAATATGAGATGGATTGAATTCAGAAAGGACAGTCAGGTTGTTAAGGACAGGACATTTTGGAAGTCACTTTGGAGTCACCATAAGTCAGAGGTGACTTGATGGTATGTAACAACAACATTGGACAAAGCCCAATAAAACATAACAATGACTAATTTCATAGCTTTTTCCCTACAAATGTGGATCAAAAGGCTGTATTTCATTTCAGTTCTTTCACATCACTAATTATATGGTATATAGAGGATGGGATGGAATTATGCTATAACAGTTAAAGCAAAGTGGGCTGCTTATATACTACCCAATAGCACTCAAACCACTCTCTGCGCAGTTTACAATTTAACTAGCAGGCTACACATCCCACCACCATGAGATGGGTACTCAATTTACCAACCTCAGAAGGATGGAAGGCTGAGTAAAACTTGAGTCAGCCACCTGAGCCCGTCGGGATCAAATTCAGGTCATGAGCAGAGTCTTGGTTGCAGTACTGTACTTTAACCACTACACCACGAGGTTCCTTATTTTTAAGCAACAATATGCCACTAAAAACATGAAAAATATAAATTATAAACCAGTGAGGGATAACATTGCCTGAAATCCTGTAAGTGTAATTTAGGATTAGGCATCCTTCAGTCTCAAGAGGCTATGGTAACGTCCTCTGTATGGAGGACTAGGAACAGCGTCTAGTGTGGCTGAGAAGGCCAATTTGAGAGTGACAATCCCTTCCACACTGAAGACAAATACAATCTGTCCCCTGTCCAGCTCCCTGATTTTGCTGGTTTTGTGACTTCCTCTTTGCCTCAGCGTGCTGGACAGGTGTCTCTTCAAAATGGGAGAGGCCATGATGCACTGCCTGCCTCCAGGCTGAACGCTCAGATGTCAGGGTTTCCCATCTGTTGAAGTCCATTCCTAAGGCCTTCAGATCCTTGTATCACAGCTGTGGTCTCCCTCTGCGGCCATTTCCCTGCACTAATTCTCCATACAGGAGATCTTTTGGAATCCAACCATCAGCCATTCTCATGAAATTCCCAAGCCAAGAAAATACCTCACCAAATAAAATGTCTTCCCAAACATAGCTCACCTCCTGTCTCAGCTTCCTCTTCAGGAAAAGGGCTTAGAGCTTCTGCCAGCCCATATTTAAAGCCCAAATCCTGCCCCCTCAGACCATGTGGTCAGGGAGAACAAAGGTCAGCCTAGAAGAAAATACTTCACCAAATAAAATGTCTTCCCAAACACAGCTCACCTCCTGCCTCAGCTTCCTCTTCAAGAAAAGGGCTTAGAGCTCCTATCAGCCCACATTTAAAGCCCCAACCCTGCCCCCTCAGACCACATGGTCAGTCTTGCATGCATATGCAGAGCACGCTTGTAGGGGTGGGGTGCACACATGCACACGGCATGGGGTGTGCTTGCAGAGGGCGGGGTGTGCACGCTCATGGGGGTGGGGTGCGCTCGCAGGTGCAGCGGTGCTCACTGGGGGCACCCATGTGTGCAGGTGGGCAGGCGATGCATGGGTGTGTGTGCGTGCAGGGGTGGGTGGGAGATCTGTCTCCACAGCCTGGTCCTGCCAAGGCCATGGACTGGCACTCTGGGCTGCAAACCGGGGGTTGGAGACCCCTGGTTTACGACATAATTAAGCAGTAAGTGCTTTGTCCCCACAGCAAGCTGGGTACTCAGAAAGATGGAAGGCTGAGTTAACCTTAAGTCAGCTACCTGAACGCTTCATAATCAACCTCAGGTATTGAGCAGAGGTTTGAGTGCAGTACTGCAATTTAACCACTGCACCACAGGGCTACCCTATATATGCATTGCATTTATTGTCCAAAATATTTTTTCTAGAATTAAATAATTCTTAATTGTTAAAAAATATTGAGGTTTTAGTAACCAGGACCACTTTGCAATTTTAAAAATTGAAATCATATCTAGAGTTGGAGATCTTTTTATGCAATCATATACATTTCCTAAATCATAACCACTGACTTATTACATCATACAAGTTTACCAGTTCAGAAATACTTCTGAGTAAACATCCTTTGGGTCATATTGTAAATCGGCTAAGCCTAAGTCAAGGGGCATTGGCTCTCCAGGCAGAAAAACTCTTCAGCATTAGTTACTTATATAACTACATGGCGTTTTCAATTTCTCAAAGTACAAGTACTTGCTGTTGCTACAAAGTCTTCCTCTACCCACAAATTTTGCTACTCTGTGTATTGACATAAATATTCATGGGTAGAAAATTATTCAGAATATCCAGCAGAGCCACAATTCATTTCAAAAGGATAATTTCTTTTAAAAAATTTGAGGATTACTTCAAAGGCAAATGAGAGTTGGAAAAATCAAACCCCTTCAAGAAAAACTAAAACACACACCACCTCATGAGCAAACAACCAAGAAAATGTGAGACACCTTCGTAATATTATGAAGTAGCCTGATTATGCAAGGTCAGAAAGAATATCTTTCGGCTTCAGCAGTTAGTAACAATGGCCAGAAGTGTAATGGTACACAAGTAATTAAATCACTGCTTGCATTCCTAGTCATACAGTTGGCTCACAACTAGGAATGGAATCAGCAACTCATCGCTGTCAATTTGTCACCATTATTTATGTCAGTGGTTCCAACCTTGGGTAACCCAGGTGTTCTTGGACTGCAACTCCCAGAAGCTTTCACCACTAGCTGTACTGCCCAGGGTTTCTCTGAGTTGCAGTCCAAGAACACCTGCAGATCCAAGCTTGGGAACCACTGTTTTACATCATTGTAATTTATGCCAAGGTAAATCTATAGCTAGTAACTGGTCAGCAATTAATGAATGGTTGCTCACAAATCAAGTTTTGATTGATTGGATAGCAACAGCAGTTAAAACCAAAGTTCTTTTTCCCTGATAAAAGAAGCCTCCTGCAGAAGTAGAGATCTTCTTCCCCTAGAGCAGTGGTTTCCAACCTTGGGTCCCCAGATGTTCTTGGAATACAGTTCCCAGAAATCCTGGCCAGCACACCTAGTGGTGAAGGCCTCTGGGAGTTTTAACCCAAGAACATCTGGGGGACCCAAGGTTGGGAACCACTGCAGTAGAAAAAACTCCTGTCAGAATAAGGGACACTTTGTATCAAACCAAAGTTTGTGTTTACAAGCAAAAAACAAAAAACCACACCCAGGATGTGGACACTGACCAGGATGATAGACTTGTTAGTACATTTCTAATTAATACCAACTTTAACTCAATTCACTATGAAGGACTGTCAAACAGCATGTTTGACAGGAGAAACAGACTGCTGTTTTCATTGTCTGGTTGTACTAAAATAAACTGGAAAAGACGTATTCTGCAAGGTTTGCTCAGATCCCCACTCCTAGCCTCTGAAATGCAATTATGTTAACATTTGCTTTTGTTTTTTATGTACTTACCCGATCTTCTTCTTCTCTGAGATCTGGCATGGTGCTTATACACAGGCTAACAGCAGTGATGGCAACAAAGGAAACAGATATGCAAGCAAAGATCTTTCCTGGGATCCCTGAGTGAGGGTTCTCCACCATATCCCTGAGCCTTCTCATGCACAAACGCAAACGGCTGCGGTCTTCAAAGGCACATTGCGGCACTTCGTTAGCTGCCATTTCTTCTTCAAACAATGCAGCCTCTGCCATCTCTTCCTCTTTCTGCCGTAGTCTTTTTTTACAGCACCATTCCAGGTGTTCCTCTTCTATTCCCCAGTAGACCAGCTCATCTTGGAAAGAGAGTGCACACATTTCCCTGAGGAGCCTAAGCTTCCCAGCTGTCAGAAAAGTCATGATTGTCCGGAAGGCACAAGGGTTGCGGTCAAAAAAAAACTCATTGCAGTTGACATCATAATCATCACAAATATCCATTATCTCGTCATAGTTGTTGCATGATTTTAACTTTCCAAGCCTGGTCAAAGGACAATTCTCTAATGTTGTCCATGGAATCCTGTATTTGATGCCACCTACGTTGATGATGACATACCTGGCTCGGTCCTCCCGGCAGGCAAAGCAATACAAGTCTTCCCCAGGACGCAAAAGTTTGGCTTTCTTGTAGAAGAATCCTTTTTTTGTTTGCACTTCGCAAAGTGTCTCCAAGTTGTTGTAAGAATATGAGCTTAATTCGGGATCTGCATTCCCAGGGAGCAGTGCCATTTCCTGATACATTTGTTACATTCATGGGGGTGCCCAACCTAATCAAAAAATTGTAGATTCTTGACTGATGGGGATACCAACGGCCAGTCTAAAAAAAAGTGGGGGGGGGGAGAATAATAAAAGCAAAAAAATCCAAAGTTAGAATTTTATAAAGGCAAAACAAGCTTCTCTGGCTTCCAATTGTATTTTGGTTTCAAAAAAGCCTTTCTCTTCCTACTGCTCTTGTAAAGAAAGAACAGAGATGAAAGTGTTAGCACAGTGAAATAGAATACTGTAAAGTCAATAGCCCATAAATTTGAGAGGTCACTTCTATAGGAATGTTTAGTATATCACAGCAATATTTTTTAACTACATTGTTTGTTCCTGCTCTCTAATATCATTAATAAACTCTCTATAAAGTTTTTCCTACATGCCAGACAAGACTGGTATCTGAATGCCTGTGCGCATAGTGTAGCTGAGACCCCAACAAATCTCTGTATAGAAGTTCTGTTATCCTTCCAGAGATCCAATAGTTTTTTTTTCTGATGTGTAATGTTTTTGCAGTAATAATAATATAAATTACATGCTATCAAGTTGATTCTGATTCATGGCAACCCTTTCTAGGGCTTTCTAGATAGAGAATACAAAGAAGTGGTTTTTCATTCCCTTCTTCTGGAGGCACTCTGGAACTATGCAGCTTGCCCATGACTACACAGGTTGGCTTTTCTCCCAGGAGGCCCAGTGGGGAAATTGAACTCCCACCTCTGGCTCCACAGCCGTATACTTAAACCACTGAGCTATCTAGCTAGTTGTTTTTGCAAATGCAAAGCCAATTCATAGGTTTTGATCAATGTCTTGGTGATTTTTCTGCATTTAAAAGTTTCATTACATGTAATGAAACTGAGAAACATATTTTTCCCAAGAATTGAAGGTAGGTACTGTAATATTTTGGCTATTTATTAACACAGATAAAAATAGGTATAATTAGGAATGAAAAGGACACATCTTCTGTCTACACAAGATGTTTCTGTATTCCAGAAAATAAGATTGTCTCAGATTATTTACTATCTCGTATTTGAAACAATGTGATTGGCACAAAGGCTGTATGATAGAATGTAAGCCAAATTTGCACTCTGTATGGTCAGATGAAATACAGATTTTTATTTTACTTATCATATTCAGATTAATGGAAACAGTCTTAAAATGGCACCATAGCATTTGATGGCTTTGAATATCCAAAAAGATGTAAAACTCTTCAAAGGACTAAAATTCTTCAAAGTTTTAGAACCAACAAAATAGCCCATTGAAATCTGTTGTGTTTATGTAAGTAGTGACTAACAAGTCCTATTCATTTCAAAAGGCTTACTTTAATGCAGTTCTAAGATGATAATGATGATTTTGTTAGCATTACATTTAGATTTAACCAAATATTTATGTGGACTAGAATATAAGTAGTTAATGAGCTTTGGGGATCATACATGCATTAAATGAATAGGTCCCACATACATATAAATGAAATATATTACGTGGTTTGAGGTGAAATATAACCCTGTGCAAAAAAAGTGAAATTATATAATTTATATTCTTCCATATTGGTCCAGGTTGATATATTTATTATGTATTTTCTAAAAAAAAAAACCAATTAAAAATAGTAGCAACAAGAATACCTGCAAAATCCTATTGGATATTTACATCCAAACAAGAGGCATTGTGGAGGCTGCCATTCCTGATTGACAAGGTGCTGGGTTCAGGAGAGATGCACAATCAGAATCACCAGGCAGGTGATCAATATGTGATCAGAATCTTGTCAATTTGCCATGGCAAATTCCATGACTCCTGTTCCATGTGTATAAATACCCAACTGGATTCTGGCAATTAAAAATGACAAAACAACAAGAATCTGATGCTGGTACAGTGAGTTAGATTTGTCACCCTGATACTTTTATACAATTCTTAAAACTTAATTTCTTTGAGGTACTTTGATAGGTGGCCTAAACTAGGAACTGCATAAATGAAGAAAACACAGAAAGCTAAGAATGAATAAGTTCCCTAACAATGCTGTAGTTCTAAGTAAGTTAGAGACAAAATAAATAAACAAATAAATAAATTACCAAATACTGGCTGAAGTCCAATGGAAGGCTGATGACATAATCAGCAGAAGTGTTTGTTTGTTTGTTTGTTTTGGACATTAAATACTTACTACTTCTGTTCTGTGGCTCCTGTGGCTTCCCCATGAGAAAAGAGATTGGGAGAAAAGGGCCATGAGACAGAAACAGGAAGTCTTTAATCTGAAAAATTGATGATATCAACTTTCAGCATGTTTACATACACCAAGAGGATTTCAGTCAGTAACTACTGAGATATAAATATACTGAGCAATATCAGTGCAACAGCACTGTTTTATTAAGCTACACATTCCTTTTAAAATAATATTAGCAACTCTACAGAAAATATTAGAATACTTTAAATTTATTTAACTAGAACTATTTGAACAAGCTGTTTAATATATGCAAGACAAAGTAATGTTTTGTTAACTGTAACAACCCTGATGTCTTTATGAAAGACTAAAATAGCACAAAGGCTAAAAAAAACCCCACCATGCAGTTAAACTTACCTTACTGTTTTCCCACAAGCTACAAATATAGAATAAAAAATATAGGACAAGAAGGGATGGAAAAATGTGTCTCCACTGCAAAAAGCAGCAAAGGGATCCAGACAATTGGAATAAGAAACTGCACTGTTGATACAAGTGTATTTATTGTTTGACAAGATTAAACATTCAAACCTAATGATCTGGGTAGTGGTTTTCTGCATCATGCCTTACATTATGTCAAGCCCACATTTTTGTGACACAAGGCCAAGACATGGTTATTTTTTTTTTTCATTTTAGCATAACAAGTGTTGACAGTATTTCAAAGGAAACCCACTCTGCTTGATTGTTTGTTTTGGCATGAATGGTGATACACATACATTTTATTTTCAGCATATATCTGCCTAGATACATCCATTCTGCTAAAATTTAGAATCTAAACTGAGAATATGAGTGTTGTATAGAAATATTACAGAAACTAAATGACAAACACAAGTTAGACCCTTGACTGTTTTACATCCTCACTTGACAATCTATGGTACCAATAAAACAGCACTTAAAAAACCGCTAAAGCAGTTCTTTGTACTTCAGATGCTTTGTTCCTATGTCAAATATTCCTCCCAATATGTTGGTAATTAACAGTTAGTAAATTAACTCTCTTGACTAATATCTTGAATAGGGATTTAATCCAAACTATGCAGAGTATGTATTTTTCAGGCAGAAAATATTCAGAATGTGAGGATATGGTGCAAGTTCTTCCTGTTGTGTAGTGTGTGTGTTTTGTGCTATCAAAACTGGAACCAACTTATAGTGACCCTAATAGAGCTTTCAAGTAAGTGAGACATTTAAGGAGTGGTTTTACCATTCCTCAAGGAGTTATGTAGTAACTATATCTAAAAGCAACAAACTATAGTATTTCTAGAGGTAGTTGGTCCATTTGACATGCTGACTGTATCACTATTAGTTAGCACACAAATCCAATTCCTTGTGTTGTGTGTTTTATTTATTTGTCTTATTTATAAGCCATTTTTCTCCTGATAGTTATTCTATAGTCTTGATCACAATCATCTACAAACTGCAGTTATGCAACAGGATGCCAAAGTAAGGAAATCCTCAGAGGCTATTTAAAGAGAACTACTGCAACACATTTTGAACAAACTCCGGGAGGCAGTGGAAGACAGGAGGGCCTGGCGTGCTGTGGGCCATGGGTCACAAAGAGTCGGACACGACTTAACAACTAAACAACTGCAACACATGAGGCAGTATGTTAACAATACTGTCTCAACCATTTACATACAACTCCCTTTCTCATCATGTCACTGTTACAATGAATTCTCTACAACTATCCCTAGTCATATATCCCCCTTGGACTGGGATATGCTACGGTGCTTCATCCTATGGGAGTGGGTAATCTCTGCTGCTGTTACTGCCACCAAGTGAAGGATTTCCCTATGAAAAGGTATCTCATTTTTACTTTGAAACCTGAAACTTAGAGAATTGTAACGTAGCTGTATTATTTTTTAAAAAGTATATTAGTTGATATAATGGTATAATAGTTTTGTACTTGCTACTTGCCTGCTTGTCCTTTTCATCAACAGAATAAAGCTTTGAGCAATATCACTCACTTGTGTTTTTGGGTTTCTCACCTTTTTCCTCTGTGAGGGAAGACCTAGGGGGCACAACTTGGTTTTCGTGCAACTAACTATGTTCACACTGGAAAGCAAAGTCAAGATCATCCACACTGTTTTTACTAAGTGTGATTGTTTTTCCAACAGGGAAAAAATTGATTTGCTTGATATATAATGGTAGAGGATGGCTTTGTGGATGCTGTGGATGGCCAGAAAGACAAACAAAAAGATCCCAGATGAAATCAAGCCTGAATTCCCTCTAGAAGCAAAAATGATGAAACTGAGGCTGTCATACTTTGAACACATCATGAGAAGACAAAACTCACTGGAAAATACAATAATGATAGAAAAGAAGAAGTCCTGAAAAAGATGGATTGACAACAGGCAAAGACGAAGACCAAACATAGGATGGATTAACTCCATAAAAGAAGCTACAGCTTTGAGCTTCCAAGAGCTGAGCAGGGCTGTTAATGATAGAACATTTTGAAGGTCACTCATTTATAAGGATACCCACTGTAAGTCAAAGGCAGCTTGATAGTAGATAACAACAACTTGTGCCTTTAACAGTTTATATGAATAAATAAATAAAGTGAAGCTTTTTTCATTATTTTATGATACTTCAAGGGCAAGTTTCCCTGCTTAATTTCTATTACAGGAACAGTATCTGGGCCACTAAAAAGTTACATATCCTACTGAGGATTGATCATGCCTAGAGTTCTGTGTGATAATTCTGTAAGGAGGTTAGAGAAACACAATCAAAAGAAATAGAAATAATGTTGCATGAATGTGAGTTGATACTGGGTTTTTATAGTAATAATGGAGCGTATCACTCTGATATGCTGTGACGTTTAATTAATTCTGTTTAAACCTTTTCCAAAAAGCAACATATTT